GTGATTAGTTGAAATATCACAATCAGAGCGCGGCTAAGTTCTAAGGCTTTAACCAATACAAGTATTTGATTATTTTTTAAATAATTTAAATGATTTAATTGATTAATTATTTTTAATAAATTTTTTATTTTTTTAATTTGCAAACTTCAAGCGAGTATTTTATTTTTTATAAATATTTTATTAAGTATTTATTATTTTTAATAAAAGTGACGAACTTTTACTTTTTAATAAAAGTAATAAATAAAAAAAAATTCTTTTGGGAGTTGACCCATCAGCTGTTGTGCTCTTTTGCGGCGAAAACGTGTACATTGTATGCATTTTAAAATAAAGCTCCTGACAGGAGCACATCCTCCAATGATCCAAAATTCTTCTTGTATAGTACACAAGGTAAGTTGAGTACCACCATGTAACGTTCTGATGTGAGCATCCGATATAATTAGGCTAGTTAATGGTGAATCCTTTGGAAGAATGGCCGGATGTTTATTTTCCATGGTGAGTGATGCTGCTTGAAGACGTCCACCAACTCTTAAAACCCCGTTAGCGTCTATGAAGGGTGTAAGTCGAGCAAGGAAGTGAGTCGATGGTAAAGACTTACCGCTGGAAATTACTTTAATTTCGTGAGGATAAGCTAAACCTTGCACAATGGTCACCCAGAATCGCTTCGCCATTTGTAAATCCGTAGTGTTTATCGGCTGGAGGAACGAAGAGTTAGAAACTTTCTTGAATCGTTGGATGGCTCTCTGACAAATAGAGGTGATTTGAAGTAGTTTTCGCAAAGAGGAGTATCTTAGGAGAAAATCCCAACACTCGCTAGTGTTGATGCAAGTTGTTGTAACAACCTTGAGCGGTCGTTCCTCCAGTGCTGCACCGGTCTCGATAGCGTTCGGTATTTGCGGCCAGCAGTGAGATGGTTCGGATAACCATGAAGGACCACTCCACCAGGATCCTTTTGTCGAAAGTTGGATCGGTGTGAGTCCACGTGTTGCCAGATCTGCTGGGTTTTCCAATCCAGAGACAAATCTCCACTGCGCTTGTGGTAACGATTCCTGTATGTAACATACTCGGTTATGGACAAAGTCCTTCCATCGTGAGGGATGATTCGTGATCCAAGTGTATACAACCGTTGAATCGGTCCATAAATAGATGGGAACGTGATCTCTGTCCAGAAGATTAAGCAGATGCTTTACCAATTTAGTAACAAGGGCTGCTCCAGCAAGTTCCAGGCGTGGAATAGTCATACACTTTAAAGGCGCAACCTTGGCCTTGGAACAGATGAGGTGAGTATTGGCTATCCCGTTATCTGAAATCGATCGACAAAAAACGACTGCTGCATAAGCATGTGGAGATGCGTCAGCGAAACCATGTAGTTTGAATGTTTGATTAGATTTTAACCCTAACCACCGAGGGAATTCGAGTGTAGGCAAGTCTTGTAAGCCTTTAACAAATAGTTTCCACCTTTCGGCCGTCTTAGGGAGGATCGGGTTATCCCATTCTAATCGCAAAGTCCAAATTTCTTGCATGAGTATTTTTGCTCCTATAGTAACAGGTGATAGTAGTCCAAGCGGGTCAAATAACTTTGCGATTATAGACAAGATCGTTCGCTTGGTAAGAGATTTCGTAAGCTCTTTTTTAGAAGAGAATTTGAATGCGTTTTCGGTTGCCATGACAAACCAAGTGAGTTGACGATGAGGTTCTCTTGAATGGTATGGAAGCCACAGGTATTAGATCTTGCTGAGGAATTGAATTCAAAACGTCGGGATGGTTACTGGCCCACTTTTGAAGATGAAATCCGCCCGCCATGCAGAGCTGGCTTACTTGTTGGACGACTGTCTGAGCCTGTTCAATTGAATCGGCGCCTCCAAATAAGTAATCCACGTATCTGCCGCGGTTAAGCACGGGAACAGCTAATGGATACTGCTGCCCTTCATCCTTTATTAGCTGTGAAATAGCACGGAGGGCTAAAAACGGAGCACAGCCCAATTCATAGGTCACTGTTGTGAGTTTATAAGTCATTGGTTGGTTTCATCCAACCATAAAATACGCTGAAATTGCTAGTCATTTTTATGGACATTGATTTGTCGATACATCTTCTCTATATCAGAAGAGAAGACATAGCACTGTTGTCTGAATTATATTAAGACATCGAATAAGTTGTTTTGCAATTTAGGGCCAACATGGAGGAGGTCGTTTAAGGAAAACCCAAAAGTGGTTTTACTGGAACTATTAAATACCACTCGCAGTTTTGTAGTAAGTCTGTCTTCCTTTAATACCCCATGATGAGGCAAATAATAAGCGATTGACGATTCGGGTTGGGAGGATGATAACAATTTCATGTGTTGTAGTTGCAAGTACTCAGCTAAAAATTCCGAATACATTTTAGCATAGGTAGAGTCCACTTCAAATCGCTTACTTAACCGTTTGATAAGGCGAGTGGCGGTCCCTTTCGAGTCTCCCAAGAGATTTGCAGGTTATTTAAAAGGTAGTCTGATGACATACCGTCCGTGTTGATCTCTTGTATGTGTATTTCGGAAGTGACTTTCACAGTCTTGCTCCTCGGGAGTTAATGAACGGTCGATTGGGAAAGGAACTTCCTCCAGTTCCCAAAATTTATGTAGTACGGAATGAAGATCTTCATTTGTCGTGACATGGTAACTCTGAGGATTCTCTAGAGTTATTTGTTGGCTCGTTGGCCCCGAAATAATCCACCCGAGTTCTGTGCGTTGGGCTATAGGTGCGTCCTGAGATTTTTTAATTAAACCTTCGGTGATTATAGCTCCGTAAACATCCGCTCCGAGAATGATGTCAATAGCATCTGGTCGAGAAAATTGGGCTAGCTGTAATCCTTTCAGGTGTTGCCATGATGACGTGTTTAAATGTGTAGATGGTATGGACGAAGTAAGATTTGTTAGGACATGAGCTGTCATTGTATATGAGAAATTAGATGTGAAGTGCGGACTCAATTGAAAACTGACCATGTCTCGTGTCTTGTTGGAGGCTTGTGCGCCAATGCCTACCAATGAAATCGAAGAGTGAGTTCGCTCCATTTTCAAACGCTGGACTATTCCGAGATAAGGGATATCTTGGACCCTTGGTCGATCAAGGCTCTCGTGGTTGTAACATTGCCATCTGAGGATGTTATTCGAACTCGAGCTGTGGCCAACAGCACCTTAATTGTTGCAGTTGGTTGGGTACTAGAGTGCATTACCTTAGCGTCCCCCGGTTTAGAAGCTTCTTTAGCGTTTGACGCACTAGTAGAAGGTTTGGTATTCTCCTTGTTATTTGAGCTTGTTTTGATAGTTGGAAAAGATCCGGGGTGGATCGTAGTGTGATGTTTGCGACCACATTTCACACAGCGTCTTGTGGTTTTACAGTTCGCGACTCGATGAGTTCCCAAACAATTAAAACATAATTTATGCTTATTGATAATAGTCGTTTTCTGTTGGATTGTTTTCAAGCTGTACTGAGGATATGCCGCAGGATGATGTTTGGCCGAACAGAGTGGACAACTATAATTCTCACTTGACTCTTGCCTGCTAGATTGTCCTTGATAGTGACTCTTAACTACCTTTGGTGCTGCTTGATGCGGATTTTTGCCCGGATACTTTTTATCGTAGGCTTGAAGAGAACATTTCCTTGAGAACAGGAATTTAGAAAACTGCTTTCATGTAGGTGGATCTCTAGACGAACCTAAGTGGTTCTCCCACAACTTAACTGATTCCGAGTCAAGCCGTCGTACTGCAAGAAAGACTAGTATATCATCCCATGTTTCAACTGGGCGTTGTAGGTTCTTAAGTGATCGATATATCTGCATAAAACTTGTATACACTCGTTCTATTTCAGAAGCGGATTCTTTGGTCATGTGCTTGAGATTGACCAAAGAATTTAAAATAGAATCTACTAACTCTCGTTTATTTTTGTAATAGTCGATAAGAGCTTCCCATGCTCCGTTAAAATTATCTTCAGTGGTTGCCATATCCTTTAACAGCTGGGCAGCCGAACCAACCAAACTGGTCTTCAAGTACTGTAGCTTTTCAACGGAAGTAAGCATAGGATTGGCAAGTACTAGAGAGTGAAACAAGTCCTTGAAATATAGCCAATTTGCAGGGGTACCATTAAACTTAGGAAGGTCTAAACGAGGTAATTTCGACCGAGAGTAGTATGGCTGTCAAAATTGATTGTGAGTGTTAAGCGATCTAGATAAAGATTCTTGTGGGGCTCCATGGTTAGGATTGAGCAACAAATTCATACGTTCGACTGTTTCCAAATAAAACTCGCGCATAGTAACAAAGAAGCTTTCCTTGAAATATACATGGTTTTGAGCAAGCAACTTTTCTTCCGGAATCAGAGCCCGTATTGCTGTAGTAAGCGCTTCGTGTATAGTGGAGAACTTTTCCCAATCCTCCTCGAGTGCAGTAAGACGTGCCTGTATTCTTTGAGGATTCAAATTACTTATTCCGACTCTGACGAGATTGTCATATGAATTTGCAATTAAATTATTAAGAGCATTTGCTGATCTAAACGAGCTTCTACATGTGCAAGTCTCATTTTGAAATGACCAACGTATTATCCGGCTCGAAGGACCAAATGTTCGATAGCGTAAATGAAATTTCAATTGGCCATACACAAATTTAAACGCTGAATGTAATTTTGGAATAAGAATTTATTATTATAAAATAATTATGCTTTGAAACGGAATAAATCATATAGTTTGTTCAACTTAACAAATACATTACACAAGGTTATTATAACGGTGGATAATAAAATTTCGTGGAAATATATAAATAACTTTATAACTAGATATTTAATTGAACAATACAAAGAAAAGAAAAAGGAAGAAAATGAAACTTGCACCAATACAAGACAATAAGACTCGCTAAATACAAAGAAAAATAAGACTTGCACGTGCTAGTATTAAACAATGGTTATAGTGTTCTGCAAACTTAAATTAACGTAAGTTAAAATACTTAGGTTTCAACAACAAATAACGAAGATGGATCGGTAGTTTACTCTCGATCCCTCTTAAATAGACAAGGTTGCATCATGTTAGTTGAATGACGCAATTGCAGTACTTATCAGAATGGGTGCGGTGGTCCTTTCAATTCGACAGTAAGATTTCTATCCATCCATTAACGTAAAGGTCTGACCTAGCTGGCAACAAGCATGGCAACGTACTCGTTGAACCTTCATGAACTGAGTGGTTCGGCATGCTTGGATTTCCTCAGCCGGTTAACGCCATTACGGCGATCCGAGGATGCAACGTTCTCGTCCTTGTATGAGAAACCTTCTTCACGCAACGTTCTTTTATGCAACCTTCTTCATGCAACTTTCTCAAAGTAACAATATTGGGCAGAGCAACTTTCTTTATAAGTATCGATCTTTGCAGTTGTAACCTTCTTTTTTAATGCAACACTCTTAAAGTCACCTTTGGCCAAAAGTAACACAGAGACAAAAACCACGTGCAGAGCGTAACGTGACGTGTAAGCAAGTGTGTAACTAACTAAAGAAGATGCTAGACAAGACGGAACCGCGTGACTCTGTGCCACGACTCAAGCGCTAGTGGTGGCAGCTTAGGAAAGCGCTAAGCGCTCTATAGTCGCATATGCCCACACATAGTTACAAGATTAGACGCGCGAACTTCAAACAGAATGCAACTCTCTTCCAATTTTCAACAAAGGTGCTCATTTGTTTTCAATAAAATAAATTATATCGTATAAAATAAAATTTATATAATAAAATTATTTTCTAAAAACACTTTTTTGAGAAATAAGTTATTAAGATTCTCATATGTACATCATTTCTTATTTTTTTATCAATTTTTAAAAAATTATTCAAGTATACAATTCAAGTGTTAATTTGTATCTTCTTCAAATATGTTGTTAAGTATCAAAATTTAAAATATCTTTTAAAAATTTTATGGTAAAAATCAATTCAAGTACTGATTTGTATCGAAAATTTTATGATTAACATTTTTTTTCAGTAATATATATATCTTAAAAACTATATATTGTACCGAAAAATGTTTCAATAAAATTTATTTGATTTTTAGTATAGATTTAAACAGATTTCAATAGAATAAAATTTTTATTTTTCATTTCTAACAAATCCTCCTCCCTATCTATTTTTGCAAAGGTATATAAATTTTGTCACAAGAAAATAATAACTTTCACAATCCTAAAATTAGAAATTAATGTTTGATTATCTGTACAGTTTTTTTTATAAAAAAACAAATATTGAAATAACAATGTTTTTTTGTACAAAACAGTCCATGTTTGATATATACTATATCAATAGAATTATATATATACATGTATTACAAGGTATACAAAGGTAATTATTATGTATAGTTCTTGGACATATTATTAGACGCATTGATTTTTTTTATTGTTTAGTTGCTAAGTTTCTTATCTAGACAAAATGTTTTTTTATAAATATATGTTTCAAATTTTCTGATGAATATATTACGTCTTATACAGAGAAATGATTGGTTACGTGGATGGAATTGAAGCTCCCCGCTTAGTGGGAAACAATCAACAATTCAATTTTTTTAAATTCTATCTGAATAATGGCAATGGTAAAACGTGTGCAAATAGTGGCGTGGAATGAGAACGTTGAAAAGATAGAAAAGTTTATACGGGCAAATTATGTAAGTTATCTCTCTTATTTACCTTTTTTATACATAATAACACATATAATTTATACAGTAAAGATTATTCCAATATAATTGTAATAATATTGCAATATTATAATACTGTAGACTCTACAATATATAACGTTTTTATTATCTTCTAATAATTTAAAGTATAATAAATAAGATAACATTTAATATAATAAATCTATATTCCATTGTAATAATAACTTAATAATTAGAACATAAATTTTAATTTTACATGTTAATGCACAATCATTTTGGTGTTATTTACTATAATAATCTTTATTCTGTAATAATTATTCGAAAAATTATATGGAGAATAATGATTAATGATCTCTTATAAAAACCTAATTTAATACTGAAAAGTAGTGATTTATAATTATTATAAATGTTAAATGTTAAAAGCATTGTTGTTCAGTACTTTTAATATTCAATGGTACATAAGTAGCGAATTCGCACCGCGAAAATTTTCAAATTGCTGGCATTTGCACAAAGC